ACGTGCAATCACAGACCTCATTCAGGGTATCCGTAACGGTTCTGTCCACTCTTTTCTCCACAGGTGAGCCAGCTAGCATTCAAAATCCATGTGGGCCCCAGCACCCACGAACTGTAACCTGAGTGTGTCTCTAAGGTTGAGGTTCAGAAAGCCTCACCAGAACCGGTTAAGGTTCGCCTACTTCCAAGAGCATAAGTCAGATTGTCCACTATTTTTTGCGTATCGTTCAACTAGCCCGCGTAGAGCATCCTTCCCATACCGTAAGCGTTGCTTTCTCAGATAACGGTATAAGCTCGGCATAACCTGAGATCTTTCTATTAGGAAGTCTAAGGAGAGACGCTATTATTAAGTGATTCGCAAGATTGCTCATGGTAGGATCCTATCCACCACTGAAAGGCAGAAATCGCGATGAACCATCGGAAAGCTCGTTAATAGCGGGGTTAGGGGCAGAACTGTATGTGCTAGGCGAGTTGCTCATGAAAAATAGGAGGGAAACCGTTGAAAACGTTCCAAATAAGGCCTCACTTGTGCCAAGCGAGAGATAGAGAATCTGTGCCGCAATCGGCGAGAGCTCAGAGCAGAGTATGCGAAGGGCAAGACGGCAGATAAGACATCTATCAAAGTGGGCGGAGTCACTTGGGCAACCTCGTTCCTTACCGTTGCTACCTTACCACTTCACGTTTGCTCGTTGCAGGCCACTCTACCTCTCCCACGAAAAGCTTAGATAATTAGCGCCGAGCTTGAGCACTGACTTTAAACTTCAATTAAACAGAGGTTTCACCTCTAACCCACCGTTACTCGTTTCGAGACCAGTCCCACCCGATTTTTTGGATCTTCTGGTCCAAACAGATGAAACTAATACAATTTTAGGCCGCGTCCATATCTCAAATTACCGTGAACGACGTGGATGACGCGAAAACGGCTGCAGCAGCAATTCAACGAATGGGACCGAGAAATGTGATCATTACGCTTGGACCAAACGGTAAATCCGGTACATTTTCGGACTGTCCATCTACTCTCTGGCTGTAGCCTCGCCATACTGGTTTATTCTGTTAGTGTTAGTGTGCCTTTCCATATTGAGGGAACACGCTAACGTTCCGTCGTTCACCAGAAGGCTGAGATGGCCGAGTAGTTAAATTGTAGGCTCACATCTGCACTGCGGGTGTTGCACAGGTTCGATCTCTGTCGAGACATAGATCCCCGCCTTGC